AGCGTCCTGGGCAAGGTGCCGACGTCTTGTCCCTTCGCCGTCTCCCCCGCCTTTGCGTGTCTTCTGGGGGCTGGGGTAGGCGCCCCTCTGTGTGTCAAGTCCTTTCTGTGTTTTTCTCAGCTTCGTCGTTAGCAGCGCCTGCGTCGCTGTGGCTGTCGTTCCTGGCGTTGTTGATGTCACGCTGCAGGATTTTCATTCGCTCACGTAGATGTGTATCCGATTCTGGTGGGCCTTGGCGTGATCGTGGTAGTCCTCCATGGTCCGCTTGGTGTTCTCTATCTCCCTTGCCTGCTGGGCTAGGGGCACGCTGCTGAGGATCGCTGCTTTGGTGAAGGCGGTCTGTGTCACTGCGTCTGTAGTGGGTAGGCCTGCTGCACTGCTTTTTGCAATAGCTGCTACTGCTTGCCTCTGCTCGATCTACTTGGTCTTCTTCCACTCGTCCCTCAGCTTGAGGTCGTTGGGTGGTAGCTCCCAGCCATGCCTTGGCGCGGCGTACATCTTCCTCATCGGCATGACATCGTTGATCGTGTTGGCGATGTGGTCGTTGTGTTCCTGGTTGGTGTCTTTTTTCTTGGGCGTCGTTTCGTGGTCAGGTTTGGCCTTCGACTTCCTCTTGCCCTTTTTGTTATTGTGCTTGCCATTCTGGTTCCAGTTGTCGGCCTCGTGGTCGTCCTTGGCGGCGTTCCCCTTGCCACTGTCGTTGTTGCCCTTCCAACTGTAGGTCTGGTTCCAGTAGGTCTCGGGGTGCTCCTTGGCCCACTGGTCCGTCAAGTTGTTGTTCCTCCAGCGCTCGAGGCCTGCTCCAGTTGCCGGTGTAGTAGGTCGTGGAGTGGCTCCTCTGTTTCGTGATCGGTTCGATGTCGACCTCCGTGGTGGTGGCGCAGCTCCCGATCGACTCGCTGTCGTCCCCCATGCTGACGCCTTTGCTGGAACTAGAGGTGGAAGTAGTGGTGGTTGCTGTGCGCTGTGGTGCGCAGCCAAATGCTGTCGAGCTGAGTCGAGCTGGTGCTGCATGTCCTGGCCGACAAGTTCACGTGCTGCTGCGACTGGTAATAGTACTCGTGTTGCCGCTTGTTGTTCACGCAGTCGACGATGCCAAGCTGGCTTGGCTGATATCGTAGTCGTGGTAACGCCGACTGGCGACGTTATCTGAGGATGTACTCGAAACGGAATGCATGAGTATGGGATCGAAAAATGTAGAACGTAGGTGGGACAATAACGGTTTCGGCCGAGGCTGGCCATTAGGGTTGGCGCATTGCCACGGTTTTCTTGGTAAGCCGTAGTTTCCTCCTCTTCCTCCTCCTCCTCCTCCTGCTCCTCCTCCTCCTCCTCCTCCTCCTCCTCCTCCCGCCCTCTTGGAGCGCTTTAGCGCGCCCAGGCTACCGAATCGTCTGCTCTGGCGCGCGTTTGGCGTGCTGCTCCAAATTTGCTTGCCCGCGCTTGTTTTTCTGTTCTCGCGTACGGCTTCGTTCGGTCGGTTCCTTGCTATTGCGGGTCTTCGGGGGCCCTCGTTGTCGCTACGGTTGGGTTCGCCTCGGAACCCCGGTCAGGTTGTGCTATGGGGGGGTCGGGCCGGACGATTGGGTAGGATAGGGAAAGGGGGGCTGCGAAGCCTATGACAGATCAGGCCCCCGGACCATTCGAAAAGGGTCGACTGGCCACGGGTCACCGGAGACCCTCTGGACCGGGCAGCGGGCCGACTTCTGAGAAGCGGTGACTGTGATGTTGCCCGCCTGCGGTCAGGAATTTCTGGCTTGTAGCGTGGCGCGGGACGGCCCCTGCGAACCGCTATCTGCTACACGCTAAACACCTTGGAAACTGGTGGCGTGCTGCTCTGCTTCGCGGGGCGGGAAGGCGAGAAACACGCTCGAGACGTGGCTGCTGCGGGATGCAGGCGTCCTCAGCGTGCCGCGCCGAAGCCTGGTGGGACAGAGCAGGCGGCGAGACGCCAGGCACACGTTCCTCACCACCCACCAAACCACCGCAACCCAACCCGAAGGCTCAGACTTACCCTCGATTTCCAGTGGGGGGGGGGTCGGGAAACATCGAAACAAACACGTGTGGAACCCGCCCTTACCCCCCCAACCCGAAATTCGGGTCTTCGGGTTGGGTTGGGGTGGTCTGGTAGTCAGTTCCTGACTGAGCCTCCCCCTCGGGCGCAGTCCCGAAACGAGGTCCGCGGTGCTCTCCCCAGCTGGCCGGCCGCGAGGGGGCCGTGACCGGCCCACCCTGGACGGCCTCGAGGGGTCGGGGAGGGGCGCGCCCACGGCTCCGATCCCGAGGCCCCCGCGGCACATTTAAAACGACGCGAAGATCGGGACAAAATCGGATCGGGATAGCTCGAAATCTCCGAGAATCGGCGGGGTTGGAGGACGTATTGGGCGCCGCGGCCGCTCCAGAGCGTTCCGGAACGCTCTGAGAGCGCTCCGGAACGCTCTGGAGCGATTTATCCCGATCCTATAACCCTGTTTTAACGTCCCGTCTCCGGTCCCATAGGCCCCCGCCGCGGCACGTTGCCGCGTGCATCGGCGGTGGAGCGCTCCGGCCCGGTCTCTCACCGGGCGGGCAGAGGAGCGCGCGGGAGCCAGCAGAACAGCTCTGCCGATTTCCACCGTCTGTCCGTCGGAGGAGGGCCAGTCGGGACAATGGCGGTCCTCCCCAGTGTTTGTCCTCCCCGTAAGCGATACGAATCAGGGCATATTTTGTTTCACCCTCTGCCCGTGTACGTAGACACATTCAGGCTGGACTGTTTCTTTTTTGTTGTTTTTGCCCACGCGTCTGTCAAGGATGCAAGGCTACATACAGACAGACAGAGGCTTCTCGTCGCCTCGGCGGGTCTTTCTCAGAGGGCCGTTCCGAAGTTAGGGGACGGGTTCTGAGCGGATGTGGCCGCGCGGGAGAGCCGCCGTGGTCTCGGTTGGCCTTCCTCCGAGACTTGGAGTCCGTAGAGACAGGGCTCTCGGGGGGGATTCGCCAGCGTCGGCCAGGTTTCAGGTCCCGCAGGCGCCAAGGCGCCTCGTGCTCCCCGTTATCGTCTCTCCGCGCGTAGTTCCTCCCGCGCTGGGTCGAGTGAATTATGCCATGTCATGTTACGTCGTACCGCACGTCGACGAAATGTTGCACCACTTTTGCCGCGCATTGTCAGCTATATTGCATTGCTCCTCCCCTCCCCCTGATCTTAATATTGGGCACATGGCAAAGGTCCCTTGGCGCCCCCCCCCCCAGGGCTCGCGACAGAATGTTGCACCACCGAGCCGTTTCGATGAACCCGGGACCGCAGCCAATGTTAAGATTGGGGGGGGAAGCGAACATCCATTGCAAAATCGGCTTGCTTTCTTGACAACACCAGGTGGTGCAACATTTTATCGATGTACCGTACCATACAATAGCATATCACATGGTTTCACCTTCGCTCAGCGGGCGGCGCCTCAGAGGGACGTGAGGAAGGGGACCCCGACGAGGGAGCGCGCTGTCCTTGAGAAGGTGTGCTGCACACGCCAATGACACCCTGTGGTGGCCAGCCGATTTCGGAAGCGTCGCCTTCAACGGCGGGGCTGGGGAGCAGCGTGCTTGACCAGATTGGGCCATGCAGAGTTTGTGCCCGTGCTGCTCGGACGGGCGTGCCTCGCCACCCACCAAACCACCCCAAGCCAACACGACGGCCCCAAGTTGCCCTCATTTTCCAGTGGGGGGGTATCCCGGAAGCCACACGAAACTCAACACAACAAAAACACATGGAACCTGTGCGCTCCCCAGTCCGAGAGTTGGGACTTCGGGCTGGGTTGGGGTGGCCTGGTAGGTAGTGGTCGTCACTGCCTCGATCAGGGATCCTGCGCCAGGTGGAGGGGACGGGGGTTGTCGTGGTGGAAGAAGTTCCTTGACCTTCCACACGTCGTGATCTGTTCCACGTCGTGGGCCCTTCGAGGTCCCCATCTCGGCGGCGAGCCAGGGGGGGGAGTCAGAAGGAGGAGGCCTTCTCAGAAGGCAGCAGGGCTTCTCCGAAGCCCTCGCGCGTTCTGCGGCGTTTCTATCTCTTCGGGAAAGGCTCAGAAAACTGTTCAGAAGGCTCAGGCCTTCTGAGCCTTCTGAGCAGGACCGCTCCGTCTGACTTCCCGCCAGGCTCGCCGCCAACCATCACTTCCCCTCGACCAATCTATCATCCCGAGTCTGTTTGTAGACGGCCCGTGGAGGCCGAAAACCTCAAGAACGTTGTCCGCAGCTGTTTTATTTTCTACGCTGCGAGTGATGAGGTCAGTGAAGGAAGGAGGAAGGATCTGCGATCACTTGCGAACCTTGCCCCTGCTGGTCTGATTGGCGCTGGGGTATCGGACACTCCCGTTGGGGCTCGCTTGCTTGCAGACATCTTCCGAATTCTGAACCCCAGCCTGTGTTTCAGAACTCTCACCTGCAGGGGCGGGACTCACGTGAGCGACTGAAGAGCACGGTTTGGATCGCGCCGACATTCGCGCGTCAGTCTCTCGCGTAAGGTCGCGCGTGAGCGCCTTCTTCTCCACGCGGTGTGCCACGTTGTCGACCCAACGGTTTTGATCGCGCCGACATTCGCGCGTCAGTCTCTCGCGTAAGGTCGCGCGTGAGCGCCTTCTTCTCCACGCGGTGTGCCACGTTGTCGACCCGCGCAGCCCGCGGCTCGAAGCTCGCCGTGCCTTCTCGCGCAAAAGGCCCAGCTCGTGCTCGGCGCCCACACGTGGCTGCCTACACCTTAGCAAGGGCTCCCTCGAGGGCGCGAAGTTATTCGCGCTTCGCGCTTCGCCGTCCTCCTTCCTCCTCCCCCTCCTCCTCGTCCTCCTCTTCTCCCCCTTGGGGGGGCGGCGCGAGAGCGCGAAGTTATTCGCGCTTCGCGCTTCGCGCAGCGCGAAGCGCGAACTTAGGAGCCCTTGCATGGCGGTCGGGGGTACCCTTGATGCGCAGCATCGGCAGCGGGAGACGGAGGACGGACGAGCGGAGGGGGTGCCGCGGTCAGAGGCCGCGACGGAGGGCAGGCCCCTTCGATGAGCTGCTGGCGCGCCGCGCCGGCTTCTACTCGACCAGCTTCCCCCCAGAAGTGGGGGACGAGGCCCCGCGGGGCCCGCGCGGGAGGGAGAGCGAAGAAGGCAGGTCGCCGGAGGCAGACGGGACATCACTGCCGCGGCTCGTGCCTGGGGGAGCTCTCGTCGCCACGGCTGGGTCCTCCTGGAGCTCCGGGTCAGGACGCATCCAGAGAGGTACGGGGAGCAGCGGTGTCTGCATCTGTAATGGAGGATGACGATTAATAAGTGACTGGGGGTCGTGTTCACGCGGCGGCGCCCGGGATGACGATTAGAAAAAACCGGCCGCGGGCTGGAAAACCATTTTTTAAAAAATGGTTCTCCTCCAGTCAGAACGTTATGCAGAAATAGCAGAAAACTATGTGTTTAATCGTTCTCTCCATTTGTATTAATCGTCATCCCGCGTTATTCCCCAAAGTCGGCATAAGCAGAAGTTGTCCGAGGGCCTCGCGGAATTTCCGGATCAGCGTTGACCCTCTTGGCGGCGCCTCCAGCGCCGCCTCTGGTGCGTTCCCCGCGCTGCGGGGGGGGATCAGCGCCGATCCAATACATCTGGGAGGAGCTTCAAAAGCTTATGCTTCTGACGATTCAAGGTTCGTGTTTTTCTTGGGGAAGGGGGCGACAGAGAAGTAGGAGAACGGGAGGCGGAGGATAGGTGGATGAGGATAAGGAGGAGGAGAAGGTAGAGGAGGAGGAGGAAGATGAGGATTAGGAGGAGGAGGAGGGGGACGAGGACGAGGAGGAGGACGAGGACGAGGACGAGGATAAGGACGAGGACGAGGAGGAGAAGGAGGAGGTAAGGGAAATGAAGGAAGAAGGGAGGAGTGAAGCAGGAAGGCGAGATGAGTAGGAGGATGGGATAGGATGGAGGAAGGAGGAGGAGCAGGGCTTTATGCGTCATTAGTACGCTGACGCTGCCTGATGAATCGGTGTGCTTGCTTTGAGGATCATGGCTGGCCAGACATCCGGATTTACCACCGGCCGTCTCCGGGGGCCTCTTGAGGGTTCTGGGGGGGCTCGCTGGGGCCGGTTGGAGGTCTGACACCCGTGGATGTGACGAAGTTTCCTCAGCATTCTTTCGCCGTGGCCCTGCTTACCAGCCTCGAACGCATCCCTATCCCTAAGATTGACACGCCAAAAGGCGATGACAGTCTTAGGGATGCGCCCTCAAAAAATAAGGGAATCCCTAGGATTGGCATCGTGATGAGGAGGTGCCCAGCATAGGGATAGGGATATGTTCCAGGCTGGTAACCTGCCGAATAGTCTCCGGGCCACCTGGCCAGACCCAGCGCGGTCTGGGGGCGCTCTTTGGAGCGTCATGAGGGCCGTCCTGGGGGCGCCGTCGGGCCGTCCCGGGGCCGCCGTGGGGCGTTTGGGGGGGCTCCGCGGCAGGGCGGGTGGCGGCCAGAGCTGTTCTGCCATGCCGTGCTTACCACCGTCGGATAGATCGAGCCACATAGCCGCGCAAGTGGACACAGCGGAATCCAGACGAGACAAGGCCCAACTCTCAGAATATTGACTCGCTGGCTGCAGCGTAATTGCTTCAGTCGGGAGAGAACAACCCACCCCCATACCCATCAGGATGATTGTCACATGTTCTCCAGAATGCTGGTGGACTTAGTCGACACACCCCCACGGCAACGATTGCGAATCGTGATGCTTCTGGTTTAAACATCGCGTTCTGCAAGAAACCCTTCTTCGTTTCAGTAAAAATGAGTTTGGATGTTTTCTACACGCGTCTGTTCGTTTATAAAATTGCACCGTCGCACGTGCGCGACGGCGCGATTTGAGCAGTGCCCCAGGCAATTTCGTGCGCGGCAGCTTTTCATTCAGAGTTGTGGGCGTTGATTAAGCACGTTGTTGGTTTTATGAGAATGTCTGGTTCGCAGCCCTCGGCGGTTGCACTTTTCGCGAGTTGCCAGGGGCCTCTCTCGGGGCACACGCGCCTGACGATGGCCGTCGGGCCACAGGCTATAGAGAGAGAAGCTTCGAACATCTGAGATGCGATGCAGTGGGTCTGTGGGTGGAGCATCAGCTGGTGGCTCTCGCAGCTCAGCCGGTGGTCCTCGTAGCCCTGCGCGTGGCCCTTGTCGCCTGGGTTGTACTCTTCGTAGTTCAGCTGGTCGCCCTCATGGCCGAGGTGGAAGTTCTCGCAGGTCAGCCCGTGGCCCTGGCAGTCCCGCCGGCGGCCCTCGTGGCCGCGGAGGTGGCTCTCGTCGCAGCTCCGCCGGCGCGGGCCGCCTTCGCTCACAGCCCGGGGGGGGGGGGCGCAGCGCTCGCACCGCGCCGCGAAGGGCCCCCCCCCCCGCGCGACCCCTGGCCCGCGGAGAGGCGGGGCGGCCCCCCTTGGGCGGGGAGCCCTGCCCCGCGGCGCGCGCTCCGCGGTCGGCGCGCGGGCTCCTCGCCCGCCGCCGCGCTGCGGCGGCCGCGCCGCCGCCTCGCCGCTGCGCCGCGCCCGCGGGCGCGCG